GGTGTGTGGTGTGGTGTGGTGTGGTGTGTGGTGTGGTGTGTGGTGTGGTGTGGTGTGGTGTGGTGTGGTGTGGAGCTGGCCCGGGGAGCAGTGGGGTAAGGGAGAGCAGGCCTGGGGTAGAGCCATTCAGCCCAGGAGGTGGTCCTGGCGGAGGCCATCAGTGCAAAGGCCCTGGGGCAGGATTGCGGCCACTGAGCAGAGCTGACTGGACCAGAATGTCACCACAAGTCAGGGGCTGCGCCTTTTGCTGAGGGTGAAACCAAAGTGCCCGGAGGAGGAAGACAGGAGGAGCGGTGTGACTGGAATTGTAAGGAGGGCAGTGGGACACAGGGACAGTGACGATGACAGCAGCTCAGAAAGGTGTGACCACCCCCGCGGGCAGTGATGTGGGCACAGGCGTGGACCACCCCCGCGGGCAGTGACGCGGGCACAGGCGTTCACAGGGCGGCCACTGCTCTCTGAGCTGTAAGTCCAGTGCCACAGGCCTTCAAGCTTACCAACTCACGCCTGGTGACCCTGGCCAAAGACCCATGGTGGGGTGCCGACAGGCCCCATGGGCAGGCCTGCTTCTATCATCTTGCTAAATGGATGTAGGATCGACCTGCACCATAACGAAACAGTCTCCTCTTTTTGGATGTGAGCCCAGAGGTGAGTGCAGTGCTCATCAGAGGAGTGTCTCTGTGTCTCTGTGTCTCTGTGTCTCTGTGCGGTGGACAGTGAGGAGTGTCTCTGTGTCTCTGTGCGGTGGACAATGGGGAGCGTCTCTTGTCTCTGCGGGGTGGACAGTGAGGAGGTCTCTGTGCAGAGAGCAAGAGACCCAGGAGGGCCCAGCCACGGATGGGACATCTACACCCCACCCCACCACAGAAGACAGTGAGAGCCCGAGGTCAGGCAGGACCAGAGCAAACCAGTGTCTTCTGGACAGGACAGGACCCCAGCACTCAGGACCACACAGCAGCTCTGGTGGCCTCACTGGATCAGGACAGACAGCCTGGCACAGAGGGGGAGGGGCTCATGGCCACACCCCTGACTGAGGGAGGAGCTATGGACAGTTGATGGTCGCCAGGGGAGCGAGAGGCAGCTTTCCTATGGATGAGGCCACCAGTAGGCCCAGCATACCCCACACCCAGAAACACACGGCAATACAAGAGAAGACACCAAATTCGGAGGGGGTGAATATGGGAGGAGTTGGGGTGAAAATGATCAAGATAAATAT